AAGACAGTGGTCAAAACTCTGCTTTTCTCTCTGCTACTCTGCAGAGACACAACCAGAATCTCCCAACCAGGCCTGCCCGAGGCATCTATAACCTCAGCAGCCATTCACTTTCAAGACTCTGACCCCCTCAGCTGGGTTCACAGACTAAAATGCATGATGAGTTTGTAGGTCCCTCCTGGCCCAACAGGGTGCTGTGCAGACTTTCCAGCCCCAGGCTCATCCCCAGGCATAGATGCTCCCGTTGCCTACAGTGGCACTGTGCAACAGAGCCTTGGTGACTGTGTTTACCTTGTTTCCTTTGCCATGAGCCCCTTGCCTTTGTCAGTTATCTGGGCAAACTACCCCATCCTCAGGCTGTTCTGAAAACTGCTTGCTCACTGACAACCCCAGGTAGAAATTCACTGCAGGGTGTCCCAGCAAGTTGACGAGTTGCCTGTGATATGCGCAGCAGAGTCTCCCATTTGTTCTGAGAGCTTCTGTCCCCACCAAACTGATATCTCAAAGCAGGGACACATCTTGCTCTTCTCAGCTTCCCCAGTGCCCAGCCCAAACCTAGCCCTTGACAGGATACAGGGGGCATTACTGTTTTGCACTGTATCAGCTGCTGATGGATGGGGCTGCACAGCAGTTATGGCCTCCATCCCCAAAGCTGGGAGATCCAAGGGCTTAACCATACCTGTTCCCCAACTGCCAGGAAATAGGGGAGGCTCTGAGCTCTCGAACTGTGCCTGGAATGTTTGTGCTTCACAGCAAAGACAGGAGTGTTCACAGCTATACCGGTTTTTCATTCCTCATGCACCCTAGTGCTGGCATGGGTGGACATAAGATTATTTTGAAAATGACTCCCTCTTTGCTCCTGATTTAACATCCGTGTACTACGGCCCTCAGTACAGAAATGAACCTCCATGCCCCATGGGTTAATGGCCAATGACCAAACCCTTAAATCAGCTCTCCCTGTCTGCAGAGAGGCCTCTGGCTCATACTTGGGTAAGGAAAACAAAGAGCCCATTTCTCATACACATGGTAGATGTTACAGTCTATACATTGGAATTGAATAAAGCCAGGCTCTGCCTCCCATTTCCTCCATTCTGCTATGTCTGGAGGAGCTGCATGGTGGAGGATGGGGTGGGTAGTAAAGCATCCATAGACACAAGAAAGGACAGCCAGTTCCACTGTACCCTTCCGTCAAGTCCCCAGCTTGGCTGCAAGGGAACACATTGGAGACCCAGCCCTCCACTGGCTCTCTCCTTATTTAGCCCAGTTGTTGGAGCCAGAGTGACCCTGCAAAGGTAGGCGAGGATGGTGGCTGATGACCTGTGGTGCCAGAATCAAACTCTCTCATCTTATACTTCAGCTGCTAGCCATCAATGGGGTAACTTTGGGCACCTGGCATTCAGTGTGGCTCATCTATAGGGTGACAGATAGTAGTCATACAAAGTGAGCATCCCTAAACCAGAAAACTGAAATATGCAGTTGTGTGGGTGCCCACAGGATGTCACAAAGAGAAAATGCCACACCTGAGCTCATGTCACAGTGAGTTGCAGTCAAAATTCAAATGCATTCAAGTCATTCTGTGAGATCACTGTCAGACTATATGTGTAAGGCATACCAGGAAACCTCAAAAGTTTGCAGAAAACAGAACAAAAATAAGTTATTTAGGTGCAAAACAATTTGGAATTTATCCATGTGAGAGGTCTTCAGAAAGCTCATTAGACATGTGTATTACAGAAAGCTGTGGATTTTGAAACTGTTGCACCATAATAAACTGGTCTTTTCATTTCATTTTTCCCAACTCTTTGAAGTAGCCTTGTAAATTAACTATAGATGAATCTTATATGGATGGGATCCCACCTCTAAAATTTGTTATTTGAATACAGATATTCCAAAATTTGAAGAAAGAAAAAAAAATTTGGAACACTCTTGGTCCCAAGCATTCCAGAGAAGGGACATCCAGCCAGTACTTGCCTCAGAGTCACGATTAAGATTGAAAGAGAAAAGCATTTAAGATAGTTCATGCCTGATTCATAGTAAGAGCTAAAGAGAATTCTGCTTCTATTTGCTGTCTAAGGCGCATGGTTTCTTAGCAGCAATGCTGTTGATGTTTGGGGCCAGAGAGTTCTATGCTATAGGAGGCTGCCCTGGGCATAGTAGGGTGCAGGACGGCATTTGTAACGTCTCCCAGCTAGATTATGTAGTAACCCCATTCTCCCATCCCTGCTGTCATGATGACCAAGAATGTCCTCAGACCACCCAACCATCCCTTGTTGGGCACAGTTACCCCTGTGGAGCATCCCAGCTGCAGGTCGCCTCTCACTTAAATCCTCAAGGTTCCCCAGGGCAGTGCAGGCTGGGTGTGCAAGCACTGAAAGTGGGACACCTTGTTCCCAACTGCTCTTTTGTTGTGCTCAGGCCATTAATTGATTCAGGGCTGGACTTTTGACATGTCCAAGTGAGGACTTCAGATGGCCCTCTGGACTGTGTGTCCATCTGTAATCTGCACCAGTGCAGATGCACTTTGTCCCTTGCTTTTTAGATACCGAGCAAGTGTCTTTCTCTATTATGATTGTCCCTAGACCCTGAAGCCAAAACCAGCTCGGTGACAGGTGTATCTGATAGCAAGTGCACACGTAGCTCCCAGAACAGCTCCCCAGACACTTCAGGGCAGCCAAGTGAACTAATTTTCATGAGCACCTAGGGGGCTGCTGGTGGCTGCTGGTGGCTCCCTGGAAAAGAGAGGCAGGCTCTGGTGGTAGGGGTGAGAGGGACATGGAAGTGACTGACTCCCTGGCTCTCTCATCTCACAGCCCACACTCCTGAGTCATGCAGAAGTAGGGTCCTGCACACAGGGGTAACTAAGAGCTCCACTACCCTGAGGAGCCTGAGAAGTTCAACAGGTGCTTACCTGTTAGAGAGGCCCAGGTGGCAGGCTGAGGGCCTGTTCTTTTCCATACTCAGGAAGGCTTTCTGGAAGGATTGGATTTTCATTTCTGTTTTCAAAGTAGCAAGAGTCAGGGTGAGTGAGAAGAGAAACAGGGACAGTTCTCAAATAGGTGTGATTAGGGCCACTGCCTCTGTGTGGGTTCCCATGTGGCTGTGGTTCTTGCAGGACAGGAACCCCTGGGGTTGTCCTGTGTTCGTGGACCTCAATTTAGGGATGGTTTATTGGTTGAATGGATGTATGGATCACATGGTTAATGGCACAGCTGTTTAAGTTCCTAAATCCTACCACCGTCACATTCTCCCTTAAGCCCAGCGGAGGTCACAGTGGGTCATCAGAGCATCATTGGCTTTGCTGGGTGGAAATCCAGCCCACATGATAGTTGGTCTCAAGAGTCCAATTAGAAGTCTATATCTTAACTATCCCATTGAGGATGGGAGAGGCTCCCTGGCCTGTGTGTCCTGCTCACATTCCCGTTGGCAGTTCTGCCTGTGTTTGGCTTTGGTCATGAATTGTGAAAAAGATCAGCCCACATTACTGTTGTTGATGCCTACCTTCATGGAGTCTGCAACCTAGTCATTTGGAGATGACCTCAGAGAGTGGAACTCTTGGCTATGATAAGTATCTTCCACTATTCTCCAGACATACTGTCCACCTTAAGAAGCCAACTTCATGAAACATGTCAATGGGTTCCATCTGGGCTCTCCCGATGGGCTATCCCAATAGGGTGGGAGAGTGAAGCTGGGCTGTGTGTTCAGCACCCCTTACCACTATCCCCAACCTTCTCTTCAGGAAGCCCTAAGCCCTCTCTCCACAACTGTGCTGTCTCCCATAGTCCACTGGGCCTGTAAGTAGTGACAGTTCTGGGTCATTTTTCCCAGGAAACTGTCCTTTCCATGTGGCTCATGTCTTAGACAATTATGCCTTTCGTCCATTCTCCAATTTCCCCACCTCAGGCCTTCACTTGTACTCTGACCTAACTGGTTCTTAGAGCACAGGAGCAATGCTACCTGCCCTCTACTCTCTCCTCGGATCCTGAAGAAGACTTCTGACGCTGGAAAGGAGAGGTTCATGAAGGCCTTGACTTGCATCTGGGGGCCGAGATTTCAGGAGTCCCAGCAGAACTCAGAAGTGGAGCCTCTGGTGCTTCAGTAGGTGGAACAGGCCATCTTCTCCTGCTTTCCTGAGTGAGCAGCACCCACTAATAGTAACCACGATGCCAAATCTCCACTGTGCCTCCCTGGCAGTGAGCATGTCCCATCATGTGTGTAGCCTCAAAGCATCGCTGGGGAATGGAGCACATCTGGTGTGACTCTGCTGGGAGAAGCCCTTGGGTACACATGCATCCCTGGTTCCCACAGTCTCAGCCATGGGCCATTTCCCCTTGCTGATTTGCCAAGTATCTTTGCTGTCAGAAGCCAGAGCTTTGAGTGCAACTGTCTGTTGATACCTGCAAGTTTTTTTCATTACTCATTGAACCTGAGGGTGATCTTGAAGATTCCCCCCAGCACAGCTTCAGTGTCAAACAAATTTGCCACTTGAGAAATTTTAAGAATGAAGTTTTTTTAAGAATGAAGTTGCCATCCCCAACTGTACATAGTCTTGGTGCGGATGGAAATTATGGGCAACATCTTCCCCAACCCCTAAGACTCTGAGTCCCCAAAGACATGGTTTGGGTCATTTTGCTCAGTGTGTGTTGGCCAGTCGTAGTGTGGGGCACAAAATATTCATGGAGGAGGCCCACAAGCCTGTACATAATGGCTGCAGAAGATGCTTCTTCAAAGTCTGGGTTGTAAAATCAAATTAAAAAGCCATGGCCCATGTTTTTCAATGAAAGACTGGAGCAGAAAACATCAGCTTGTAACTTTTATTTCTTGGAAATTTTGTTTGTATTACACATGCAAGCCAGACAGCCATTGCCATAGAAAGTCGTTTGAAGACTGCTGGACATAAAGAGTCCAGGAGCCTTGATGTGACCTGTAGTGAGCTGCACTGTAGGACTCAAACCCGCCCCTTTCCTGCTGCAATTTACCTTGTCCCTCCTCTCTTCCTCCCACCCCAGAACGTGTACTACACAAGCAGCCAGCAGATACACGTGGGCATCCTCAGCCCCACAGTGGACGACGACGACAACCGGTGCCTGGTGGACGTCAACAGCCGTCCACGGCTCATCGAGTGCAGCTACGCCAAAGCCAAGAGGATGAAGCTGCACTGGCAGTTCTCTCAGGTACTGGTCCCAACCCCAGGGGAAGAATGGCAACAGGGTGGGGCCAGGGAGAGGAGACGGGGCACCAGGCTGCTGACATGCCATCCTTCCATGTACTGGGGCTTTTGTCTGCATCATCTGATCCTGGCTCTGCAGGAGACTGTCATGATGGTTTCTCTCATAGCATGTCCTGTCATCACTAAGAAAACTGGAAAACTGCTACTCAGAGAGAAGAGCCCCCTGCCCCAAGTCACATAGGAAGCAGCAGGGCTTAGATTTCCATTCGGGTCTTTCTGACATTGAACCTCCACAATTCACTCCAGCCCCTGGTCCCAAGGTGAATCCCTGGACCCCCTCCCCCCAAGCGCACTGGCTAAGCTGTTTCTCTGCTCTCTGGCTTGCTCTGCCTAGCTCCCAGGAAGTGCCCACTCTCGGCAACAAGGTTTCCTTGCAGGACACTATCTGGGGACCATGACATGGAAGTGCTGTCCCTATGTTAGTTACCAAGGGAACATTACTCTTGTCAAGTCCTTACCAATTCAGAGGCTCTTGATGGGCCCCTATGGCTCCCTATTATACAATGATGCCTAGGGAGCCAGATGCCCAGCTTTGAAAACAGTCTCCACCCACAGGCCTTTAACCTCCAGGGAATTTGCAAAATAGGATCAGTTTCCACCCACAGGGTCTTGCCTGGAGAGGTCAGGAAGACAATGTCTGCTTCTGGGGGTCCTGGTGGCAGAGGCCCTCCAGCTTCCCTGAGCCAGCTGCATCCTCCCTGGAGAGGAATGAGTTGTAGGAACACAGCGAGAAGCTTTGTGAGTTGCCACCCTGGTTTTAAGCCTGGGCTGCAGTAAGTGTCCCCTACACAGGGAGGCTGGTAAGGGGAGCCATTGCTACATCACACTCTATGGGCATCGGGCAGCTCTGGCCTGGGCTTAGGATGTGCAGATCCTGAGGACTCAGAGAAACCTTCAAGTTCTAAATGGGTGGTGAAGGTCAATACGGAGCAGCAAGTTCAAAGGCAAGTCATGGATTTAGGGGCTGGTGAGGGAGCAGAGCAAGAGCTCCTGGGGCTTTATAACTCAGGAAAAACAGGTGTCATGGAGGGGACAGACAGTTCCCCTGCATGTGGCAGCTTGGAGTTCAGCAAATGGTCCACAAGGGACCCAGAAGTTATCCCATATATTCCTGCCTGTGGGGCCTTAGGCCTATGCTCTTAACTGTCCAAGTGTGTCCCAGGAAGAATAGCATCTGTCACTCACTCAGGCTGACTGCACGCCAGACCCTGCCAGCCTGTAGTGCATAAAACTCCTTTCACCTTCCCCGCAGCCATAGGTCACCTGTGTCACTCCCCTGATCTTAGAAATGACCGCGAAGAGTCACAAGCAAGTCATGTGCCCAGGGTGTGCATGCTCGTTATTGTCCATGAAATACTCAGGTGCTGCTGTCTGTTTTCTAATGCCTGAACAGTGGTGGAAGTGGCCACCTGGATGAAGGCCAGGGTCAGGGCTGCAGCATGAGATTCTGTCATGTCTTCCTCTTACCACCCTCTTCGTAAACACTCAGGTTGCCCCAGCTTTAGCCTGAGGCTGTGCCAGTGAGGGCCTGAGCCAAGAGGCCTGGAGTGTGAGGGCAGGGAGGACACTGGACATGGACATTACAGGGTCAGGAGAGGTGCATGGAAGGCTTGCACAGGGAGAGGAAGGGCCTGCCTGGGCCAGTGGAGGGGAGCAGAGCTGACTTTGCCAGCAGGAATCAGGGTTTGTACCTGAGAATGGCTGCCAGGTCTGCGGGAGCTGCTCTATTCCTCCTGGGGACTGTGTGTGTGAAGCAGTACAGGAGGTTGGTGGTAGTGGGACAGAGATGCCATAATTAGCTTGGCATATTCTGGAACGTGTAGGGGCCTGATCCGTTGAGAAGGAAAAAAAGGGCATTACAGGGAGAGGGAACAGCATGTGCAGAAGCAGTGAGAACATCACACCCAGGTCTGCTGGGGACACCGCAGATAGACAGGAGTGACTGGGTTCTGGAAGCCTTGGGTCCATGGGACACATTCAGATTGGGCTAAAGTGGGAGATTCTAGGAAGGGGCAGAGACAGAAGTCAGAAAGAGGCTGCAGTGCAGCTCGGGAGTTCGGCTTAGGAGTTCGATCCCTAAGAAGCTCAGACTGAGAGACATGGGGTAGACACCTTGATCTGCACAGTTAAGAGTCCTCTAATGGATGAACCACCTCAACTCCCAGCGAGCAAAAGGAGGAGGGGGAGGAGAAGCAGCAGCTGCTGGGGTCTGGCTGCCCTGAACTGGCCCCTGGATGTCATAGGCCAGCTAGGTGCCTAGGACCCTGAGCACTTGACCTCATCTATGTGTGCCCCCACCACCAGAGGCCTTGCTCCTCCTGGGGTCCCAGAGCCAGCTGGGATACAGAGCTCCACCTGCCTCTGTGAGCCCATTTTTTGTGTTAGTAAATCCAGATCTGCCTCCAAGGAGAGAAACTGAGATGACGTCCCTTAGCCAAGACCACATGGTCTGGGAGCAGTGGAGCTGACTTTCCAACTGGGTGCTGAGCCTGGGCCCAGGCTGCTGCAGTGGACTAGGCCCACATTCACCCCATCTCCATCCACCTGGAGCCCTCCCCACAGATGCCCAGGGCCTTTGCAGGGGGTCATGTATCAGCTCCATCCCCCAGGACAGTTTTCATGTGTGGTACCCATGGCTGGCCTTCCATACTCATCTATCCATCCCTGACTGGGACTAACACCCATTGATCCTTGAGGTAAAGATACACCAGTCTATCTGCCACCTTTCTTCATGCTAGCACCTGGTCTTGGCCAGGAAACCCCAGAGGATCCCTGTTTGAATGAACAGGGTTGACAGCTATCGCCATGTTAGCATCCTGTCTAATGAAAACCCCCATATAAAAGGTGTGGGCAGCCACACCTTTGATCCTTGCACCAATGGGATGGCTTGGAAACAAGACTTACAGAGCCAGTGCAGGAATTCCACCCTCATTGATATTCAATAATGGACATATGGAAAAAGCTTGTTAACTGTAAAATGATCAGTGTTTATCAAATGACTGGAATAAGTCCCCAGCACTCACTGATGAGCAATCACTGTGGACAAGACCAGAAGCCAGAGCTTCTTGTGTGACTAAAGTTTTGTATTTGAGCTAACTTTTCTTATATGATCTTTTTCCTTAAAAACATTTTTTTTAAATTTTATGTATTTGAAAGGCAGTGTGCAGAGAGAAAAGACAGAGTGTAAAAGAGGCCCTCAGTGCTCAGTTGGCTGTACCAGCCAGGGCTGGACCAGGCTGAAGCCAGGAACCTGGACCTCTCATATGGGTCAGGGGCCCAAGGACTTGAGCCATCTTCTGAAGCCTCCCCAGGTCCTTAGCACTGAGTTAAAACAGAAGCAGAGCAGCCAGGATTGGAACTGGCGCTCTGATTAGGATTCTGGCATTGCAGGGAGTGGCTTCCCCCCACTGCACCACCACACTGGCCCTGCCACTGCTTTTAGTCTTTTTTTTTTTTTTTTATAATCTTCACATAGAAGATTAGGACACAAAGGGTAAAGGGTTACAGGAAAGTGGGTAAGACCATTGTTTCTACATTTATGTCTGTGTATCTAGGGTAAGGAGGGAGCTAAAGGGAGAAGCCCCACCCAGCCTCACACCCCATTTCAGATCCCATCTCAGTGTCCCCAACATGGGGCATGCGCCAAGGGCACTGCTCATGTGATTTCAATAGTTCAACAGTTCTGAATTGCTGCCAATCCCACCATTCCAAGCATAATGAAATCTCTCCAGAATCCGCTGGCTGACCTTAAGGTCTCAGTTTGCCCAGGTCTTACTGCCAACACGTGGCTAGGGCAGGTGATCCATTTGTTCTGTCCTCCATCCTCTGTTGTGGTACCAGGTGTCCTCTGCGGGCTCTGATGGACTGCCATTTCTTCCATGTGCGCTTAGTTATACTGTCTACTGTTCTATCTGAAACTCTGAGGAGGCTCAGCTTTGACACATGTACTCCATGGTGAGACAATAGAACCTGCAATTCTCTTCCTGATCGGGGTTCTGAAATCAGCAGTTCAATTGGAGGGATCCCCAAAGAAACTTTGTTTGAGGTGATCCCAGACCTGATTCTTGTGTGTGAATGCTTGCCAGTATGTACAGCAGACTTGTCCAGTCTGTCCCACATCCCATTCAGCTCTTATATATGTCAATGGGCATTGAAGCCTAGTTCAACTCAACCAGCCCTACTATGCAGCCCCCACAAATACTGGTGGGTACTGTTCTGTCCAGCGACCCCTGCCCCAGTCATGGTTTTCATGCTCTCCAGTGGGAGTGGTAACCCAAGAGGGAGGGGCCCACTATTTCCCTACTGGCCGCTCCCACTCTCGGATCATGCACTCTCCAGGTGGTTCTGCAGTTTAACTTGACAGATTTAGCCCTCCTCTGCCAGCCTCTGTCAGCTGATGCTGCAGCAAAGTCCAACCAACCCTCACCCACCCTAATTTTTCCTTGCACCAGTAGGAACAATCAGCCCAGCCTGGCTTTTCCCTGATCTAGCTCACATGAAGCTTATATGCTGATCGTTGCAGTTGCTGGGTCAGTTCTGTCTCCAGCACCGTCTTCCACATGAACCAATGGGTGTTACAGTCAAGCCTAATTCTGCCCACCTCACACTTGGCCCTCACGCAAACCGGTGGGAGCTGCAGCCTAGTCAGGGCGACTCCCAATAACCCCACCAGGCCTGCCCCCTGCCCTCAGGACTTTCATGTGGGCTGGTGAATCAGTCTGGCCCAAAATAGACCTTATGGACTCTTCCCTCCAAACCACCACGTCTCAGTCCCCCTACTTGCCAGCAAGTTCTGTGACACCTCAAGGGAATCAAACAGGATTCATCTCTCACCTACGCTCACATTGGCCTTATTCATGGATGTCCCTAGGCAGCAATTACATACCTTAAAAACCACAGAGCTGCCAGGCAGCCAGCAGGCTCACCACGTGGTGGCAGTGATCA